GCTACCATCACACCCTACCTCAATGGCTGTCTCCTCCTCCAATGCCACCGGATGGCTGGCCATTGAAGGGTGCCAGGGTCTCTCCTCAGCCTTCTCCTCCTTTCCAACCATGCTCTCTCCCCAGATAATCTCATCCAATCCTGTGCCTTCACATATCTCTCTAGGCTGATGACTTCCAAAACACTATTTTCTACCTTTGCCTTTCTTTCGAACCCCAGACTCTCAACATGTTTCTACTTGGATATCTAAAAGGGGCGCCTGGGTGGCTCAGTCAGTTGAGCGACCGACTTCGGCTCAGGTCACGATCTCACGGTTTGTGAGTTCGAGCCCCGCATCAGGCTCTGTGCTGATGGCTCAGAGCCCGGAGCCTGCTTCGGATTCTGTGTCTCCCTCTCTCTCTCTCTGCCCCTCCCCCACTCATGCTCTGTCTCTCTCTGTCTGAGAAATAAATAAACATTTAACAATTTTTTAAAATATTAAAAAAAAAAGGCAACTCAAATTTAACCTATTCAAAGCACCTCCTGATTTCCCCATCAACCTGCTTCTTCCTGTTCTTCCCACATTTCAGGAAATGATCCCACGTGGTAGGTCAGGACCAAAACTCAGATGATGTCATTTTTTTCCCTCTCCCCTCATCCTATCCATCAGCAAGTCCTGAATCTCTACAATTCATCCCGAATCCAGCCACTTCTCATCACCTCCACTGCTACACCCGGACCCATGCCACCGTTGTATCTAGCCTGGACCGTAAGAGCCTCTTGTACCGGCCAAATGCAACCAGAGTGATTTTTGTAAAACTTAACTCTGATTATCTGTCTCACTCCTGCTAAAAAATCTTCTAACAGCGTCCCTTGCAAGGAGGATGAAATCCACAAGCCCTTACCTGATCTGTCCTTGGCTGATCTCTCTGATCTCTTATCTGGATCCTCCTCTCCCTCTTCTTTCTTGCTTTCTTGCTTGCTTGCTTGCTTTTAGAGAGACAGAGCCTAGGAGCAGAGGGAGAGAGAGGGAGAGAATCTCAAGCCCAACGCAGGGCTCAATCCCACAACCCTGGGATCACAACCTGAGCTGAAATCAAGAGTTGGACACTCACCTGATTGAGCCACCTAGATCCTTCCTCTCCTTCTTCTTGTCTGCCACTGGAACATGTTGAGCTTTTCTTGGGTCAGCACCTTCCCACGTTAATGCCTCTCTTCCCCACTCTTCTCCAGATCTTGACATGGGTGGGTCTTCTTGGGCTCTTTCTTATCACTTGGGGCTCAGCTCAAGGGTCATTTCAAGAGGACGTCCCTGATGTCTCTTATTAGGGATGACCTGACCTGATCCTCTCTATCCCACTATCCAGCTTTATTTCACCATGTCATTTGTCACCGTCTGAAATTATCTCATCATTTATTTTCCTCCTTCCTTATTCCCTTGTGCAAGTAGTGACAGTCTCCATCTCCTAGACTGAGTGGCCCAGGAGGGGTAGACCTTTGTCCTGTTCCCTACTATATCCCAGAAGTGTAGAATAGAATCAAGCCTAGAACCAAGCCCCTAGGAACTCGGGGCGCCTGGGTGGCTGAGTTGGTTAAGCGTCCGACTTCGGCTCAGATCACGATCTCGCGGTGCGTGAGTTCGAGCCCCATGTCGGGCTCTGTGCTGACAGCTCGGAGCCTGGAGCCTATTTTGGATTCTGTGTCTCCCTCTCTCTGACCCTCCCCCATTCATGCTCTGTCTCTCTCTGTCTCAAAAATAAATAAACGTTAAATAAATAAATAAATAAATAAATAAATAAATAAATAAAAGAATCAGGGCGCCTGGGTGGCCTAGACGGTTAAGCATCCAACTCTTGATTTCAGCTCATCACGGTTCGTGAGTTCCAGCCCCGCATCAGACTCTGTGCTGGCAGTGCAGAGCCTGCTAGGGATTCTCCCTCTCTGCCCCTCTCCTGCTCAATAAATAAACTTAAAAATAAAAATAAAAATAATAAAAGACAGAATAAAGGAGGTCAGAATGTGGTTTGCAATCTTTGGACATAGCTGGCTTTTATTGCCCATGAAGAGATAAAGTTCCCCGGCCTTTCTTCATTACCTTTACAATTTGCTCAGAGTGTCGGGGTCACCAAAGAGCTCACTGTGAGAAGCAAAAATCATCCTGTGCCTCTCCCCATAGGTCATGGGCTTGGAGAGTGTCAGAGCTTGGAGGAGGGACCTGAGACACAGAGGACCCAACGTGTCCGGAGGAGTGTCCTGAGAACCTTGACCTCAGTGCCGCTGCCTGGCTCGGCACAGGCATGAACATGTGGTCGCATCACTGGAGCCTGGACACCGATCCGGACTTGAGACTTCCCTTGTTCAATAACTCTGTAACCCCTGGGTAAGTCACGTCCCCTCTCTGTACTCCAGTCTCCCCATTTGTGTGGGGATGATGATGATGATGTTACTTCTTCCCAGGGTTTGCATAAGGCTTAGATAAATTTATCTACGCCAGTAAATATTGGCACAGTTACCAGGCTGGATTCCGAGCTAGTTTGCTAAAAAGGGGCCAGGTTTGAGGCGGCAGAAAGCAAATGGCCTCATGCTTCTTTTAGGAGAATATTGAACCCTGCCTCACATTTACTAAACAGGTTAAAAATTCCCTCAGTCCCTCATGCACACCTCCCACCTTGCTTCTTTCTCTCCTTTTCTGTCTCCTTCCTCTCTTAGAGATATAGGAGAAAAGAGAGAAATAAACACTTCCTCCAACATTTACATTTTTTTTTAAGTCCCCCCCTTTACCCCTTTTAGGGAACTCTAATTCCAATACACGACTTTCTGGAGAAGCCTGCCTGGCCCTTAGACGCCACTAGGGGGCAGCTCTGCTCGTGGGTCCCGGCCCCTCTCCCAGCGGTGGGCTATAAATAGGCCGCAAGTGAGAGGGTCTGAAATCCCTTCCCACTCCTGTTCTCTCCCCCAGGGAAGTGCAGGGCACCGGACGCGTCTCTAGTCTCTCAAACGGCAGCAGGAGAGAGATGCTGTCTCCTGTTTGTGGTGGCCAGTGGCCCAGGTGATCAGTGGCCTTGGGTCCATCCATGACCCGCGGTCCCAAGAATGACGGGGGCTACAGGAGACGCAGAGGCTGAGGCCTTGGGGACTTTCCCTTGTGATATGGAGGGTCGGGACTGGAAGTTGAATGGGAGAGAAAGGGAGGAAAAGAAGCAGTAGGTCAGGTGTTCTCTCCCTACCCAGGCGCCCCTGGGGACGAGGTCTTTAAAGAAGTGATTATGGGGGCGCCTGGGTGGCGCAGTCGGTTAAGCGTCCGACTTCAGCCAGGTCACGATCTCGCGGTCCGGGAGTTCGAGCCCCGCGTCAGGCTCTGGGCTGACGGCTCAGAGCCTGGAGCCTGTTTCCGATTCTGTGTCTCCCTCTCTCTCTGCCCCTCCCCCGTTCATGCTCTGTCTCTCTCT